TTAAACCACTTTCATGAACAAGTAGAATTGTTTCACTAGAACTTTTAGTAAACGGTGCCAAAGCACCGTCATTTTAGTAATTGTTTAATGTGTTTCCTGTTACATAGAACGTTAGTAAAAAACTAAGTTAGATATACATATTCAAAAAAGAAATTGTATAATTATTTTTGCATTGTTTTCCATAACTAATATCTTTAAATGGTTAGACTTGAAAATTGTTTCCATTTAATTATTGTTGATTGTTACATGCGCTTGAGATATTTATCATTTTTAAATTTAATTGATATGTGTTAGTCATTTGTTCGAAAGAGTTTCTACGAAAAGAAGGTAATGAAATACCGGATAACATGAAGCGCATTTATTTCGAAGTCGAATTTAAGTATTAATTTATATATGTATGAAACGACTGCCGACAAACTACAGGTACTAATTAAGTCACATTCCATGGATCTAAGAAACCAACTCACCTCATGCAGTTTTTTAACAACAGAATAACTATTTTGCGCACAAAGTTAGAAATTTTGCATATACTTACGCTAAAAGTTCAAAAGTTCCACAATGAAAATTTTACAGCATATTTTTCTGGAGATCTGAAAGTCAATTGTCTTCTAATCTTCATTGAAGCAGTACAATTAAGTAGCAAACGAACGGTAGTACAGTTTTAGATTTGCCAAGAAATTTTTTAAAGAATCTATTATTTTGTAACATGTAACGTATAGAGTTAGCACAAACTTAGAACATTCCGTCAGGACCTCAAAATACGCTCAACATATCAATAAATACAAACTAGAATTTAACACAGTCGTTTCTACTATAACGCACATAATTCAATATTACAGCTGCATTTTATACGAACGAAATAGGATGAAATAGGTGTATGACATGTATCGACAATACAGGATAATCAAAGCGATAAAATGCGTAATTGATTAAGTAATACAATGTGCGATTATGAAATTCAAACAAATTGCAATCTTCAGACACTGCCATATATTTAAAAAATCACACTACAAAAGAAAACTGTTATTTTTAGAGCATTTTTTACGAAAACACGAATAAGATGAAATTACTTAAAATCAAACAGTATGATAATATTTTCCAAATGTAACTGACTTCTAAAAGCTTAGCCTGAATTTGTAATTGCACATCATTACATAATGAACGCGTTATAATCGGTTTGACTGTAGTAGCAGATCTTCGCGTTGTCCATTGCCGAATAACCCAAAATATAGAAAATCAAAAAATAACTAATTATACGATTTATCTTTCGAAGTATTTTGAAACACATTGCCAAACAACATTACGCGCAAACTTTCTATATGCCTTTTTCTGAGTAGCTTTTACATATCCCAAATTTTTTGGAGGATAATAAAATTATATTTTCACTTTTGTACGGTTTTGATATCATATATGTGGGACTTGAGTCGGTTAAAACATAAGAGACAATATTAAATTAAAAAAATAAAAAATAAGACACTACATTCACTCACCATATAATTACAAATTTATTCTGCTACCTTACTCTTTTTAATCACTATTCATATTTCATGCCCATTTGAATGAAATCGTACTTGAATCCTGTAATAAACTCTAGTTCAACACTGTTCCTGCGTGCTACTGATGAATTTCACCGCATCTTCAAAACGAAAGTTATTGTAATGACACCATTTACATTCACCCTTATTGCACTCATTGTAGCCATCAGTTTGATGACAACATGATTGTTAATTCTTGATTTTGTCATACGCACTTAACTTAAACAAACCGACTCACGGCCTCACTGAAACCAACTGATATATTTTTAATACTTTAGACTCGATAATTCGAATCTCTGCTGAGGCCCTAAAATTTTTGGGACTTGAGTCGGTTAAAACGTAAGAGTACATATATTATCGATAAAATAATGTAAATATAACTGTAATATATCAAATGCGTCAGTAGTTATAAAGTAATGTAATTACTATTAATAGTAGACGAATTGACAATGTGATGTTTAGATAAGTATAACATCTATATGTTATTAATATTATGTAAGTAATATTACTCGTTACTAAACTGCAAAAGATAATTTTCAATTAATTGCAGCAAAAAAATAAACGTATCTTATGTATTTTTTGCAAATGTGTAAATATTGTGCATTTTATTAAATAAGTTATGCTAAATAGGCATGTGCTTCACTTTGTATAAAATTTATTACAAATAAAAATGATACCAATGTACCATAAAAGTATGTATACATGCATAATCATTGATACATTATTCTCCACATTTGCGTGCCATTTTGTGTAAACGTCACGCTGCAAGCCTAATTTTCCATTAAATATAAGATGTACTTATTATCGAGGTAAATAATAATTTATAATGAATAGTTTTTTCTAAAGTTTTATTTTATTTATTGTTTATGTGAATAGACTACATTATTACAATATTTCATGTAAAATATGTTTATATACAAATATACAATATACAAAAGGCACAATATATCTACATTCTTTAGATCATGTATAGTAAAATGCATACAAAGTGACTTATATGCAATTAAACATAATTATTCATGATGTTTAAAAAATTTATGCTTAACATAAATGTTTGTTGTATTTGTCGTGCAAAGTCATACTGTCAGCATGCTGATTACACAAGCAATCCTTCGAATATTATACAAATATATTTTCAAATGTCAAGGTTATATTTTTTATTTCTATAAATTTATAAACTATAATATCTCACAATGTGCCATACAGACAGAAATATTTTTACTTAGTGAGAATAAATTCATGTAGACGTATACAAATGTTTACAATTATTTTTGTAAATAAAAAGTATTTCTTTAGTTTGTTGTGTTTAATGGCTTTATGAACGTACAAACAATCAATTTTCTAATATTTAATCAAAAATGGATATTAAATTTAATTAAAATGTTTGTGCAAGCATCATGATTGACAAGTATGTTTGGCCATTTATAAATCGCTTAAAACAAAATTGAGATATTGTAAACGAATACCGACGAGAGGTAGAACAGCTCTACTTCTTTGTACGTGCTGCAGCGTATAAAAAGTTGTGCTTTCTATAAAAGCTTTCCAAAATAGTACCTAAATAATTCACATCACCACTAGCCACATTAAAAAACTGCTTGATTGACTTTGTTAAATATAATTATCATTGATGAGTTTACAAGAAAATATTGTCATTCTAATATTTGTTCGATTCAATTATAAACCAAGAACAGACACAGTACTGTTTATAAATTCTACTCATTATTTTAGAATTATAAAACTTCAGTACCCAAATTTATCTTTATAAATGAAAATAAATTTATATTTATTGTATAACTATTTCCATTAACACGACTAATTTACTCGTTAATAGTTTATTTAAAGCGATTGCTTTACGACGGCAAAAACCATAATTAAATGTTTAGACGTAATAATTTCACATATTTACAATAAAATACAAATAACGCTTCGCCTTAGTTTTGTTCGTTGTAAATACTATCTGTCTTTTTCAATTCAATATTACCGTTTATGGCCGTTCACAAGTGCTCATTTCCCATGATTTGAGAATGTAGGTATGCGTATAAAAGTACCTAATGTAAGTATAATACAAATCATAATAGAATCGTTTTAAACGTATATATATATATCTATATATATAACACTGATGTATCATCGTCAACGATATCGTAATCATAGAATATCTAAATTCCATTTATTTCTTTTCACACAGACTGAAATGTATAAAATTGATTAAGTTGAACAGATTAAAATAATCTCTGCACCTCTAAAAATATAAAAATTATTTTCTCCTTATTTTTCACGACGTTCTATCACAAAGTTACTATGCTTTCACAGTCCGCATATTACAATAAAATGTTTTCAACATGTTACGCGTACGACGTGCGGTGTTTTATCATTTTTCTTCGCTTTATTTACTTCACAATAGCATGGCAGAAAACTTACATGATACATAGTGAGATGTAATTAATATGTGAAAAACATTCAGTAATATTTTCATTTAGGTTGCAAATAAATTTGTGATAAGTCAACAGTACTTGCTCTGAATGAATTACAAAAATATGTTATATTTAAGTCTTACTGAAATGAACTGTATATGTAAAAAATGATCTAAGTATCATGAAAATTTTCTATAAGATAGCGACGGTTTACATACATGTTACATCTACATGGACTCCCAGTATGATTATCAAGGGTATATTTTCCTCTAAAATATTTGTAAAAAGTTCCAAATATTATGTTTGGTGAATGTTGGTGGTGAAGGCCTTGAAAACCGGATGCCCAGGCATTCAATGATTAACAAATTAATACCTAAATATCCAGGTACCTACTATTACTATGAA